TTGTTTAAAGTCTTCAAAAATATTAACTTATAAGTTGATTTTAATCTATTATATAATAAATATCATAAATTCTATTAACAATCTACTCATAATTACAATTATTAATTATTTTTAAAAATCAAACTAAACACATATATCAATATTTTTGCGTTACCTTAAGATATTTATTGGCTTTAATAACTATGCCCTTCTTGACTGTTTATGTTGTTGTCATATTAAATAAAGATAAATGTTCAGATAAAAAAAATTAAAGATAAATGTTTTAGGAAAACGACAATTCCACTAATCAAATGATATAAAAGTTAAAATTTGCCTATAAGAGTAAAAAATCAAAATAACAAACTGCTTCATATTGGGGAGTGTTGGACAAGGTCTTTGTATTTTATTTTAAAAAACAAATTATAATTTAAAGGTAAAGAATTCAAGTCCCAATGTACTTTACAAATAAATGTATAGCTTTTCAGTCATGAAACTCAAATACTTAAAGGTCTTTCTTTTGAAGATTGGGGACTAGGATTTAAATTAATATCATGAAGATGAAAATTTTAGATAATATATACCTTCTAAATATAAACTGACTTTTTTAATTTTTCTATGTTTAAAGAAAGAGGAAGAAAGATCTTTGATGGTGGTGGATGTCGTGGATGTGTGTGTGGTTCTTAGGGGGCCAACCCAGGGCTGCCTAAACCCTAAAAAAGTAAAAATTATCTCACCCTCTCGCGCTCTCCCCTATGGTGAAAAGTGGGGTTGCTTTTAAGGCATGTTCTTAGATGTGTGGCACATTGATTTTTGGACCTTTTAATTGGCAAAAGGTGCAGATCAGCCCCTAAACTCAACAACTGGTGGCAAATCACCCTCTCAACCCACTTCACGCGCAAATCAGCCCCTCAACTCCCTTGCAGTAGCAATTCAGCCCTTCTCTTAACATTTTCGTTAACATTTAACGTTTTGTTCATTAGCCCTTCCTCTATGTCTGACGTAGCCATTTTTGACTGAGATGGATGCTAAGGTGGAGGCACACCTGGACAAATCACTTAAAATTAGCAGATTAGACAAAAATTACTTTTATACCCTTAAAATTGTTTAGGGAATAAAATTGGGGATTTAGGGATTTTAGGATCAGATTCTACCGTATTTGTCTACTTCCCCTCTTCGTTCTTTTAAAACCCAAATCTGCAATTCATCAAGCATGGGGTTCTTTGTCAAGCTTTGAATCTTCTATCAAATTACCATATTTTGAGGATATCAAATTACCCTTCTCTCTCTCCTCCCTCCTCCTCCCCCTTTCTCCTCCTCTTCTTCCTTTATTTTCTGGTTTAAAGAAGGGTTCTATGAGAAACCACCAAAGAATCCATCAAATTGTCTCTGGTTTTCTCTGGGTCTGGGTTCTCCGGTGATTCTCCGCTTAGGGCCGGACGAGAGATAATGGAGGAGGAAGAAGAAGATGATGACAAAGAATTTCATTTCT